ATCACCCGTTGTTTCATGTGGCATCTCTGCTGAGTCCATGTTGGCCAGTTCGTTCTGTTAGGTTGGGTGGGGGACTCAGGTGCAGAGACGGACACACGAACAAAGAGGGTGAATTAGGATGTAGTTTATTCAGCGTGTTTTGGCAGAGAGAAGCAGTTCAAGGTGGAGTAGCTTCAGGCCGGGGTAGGAGCTGAGTGGGGTGGAGAGCCAGTAGTCCTGAGAGCTGGATGACAAGGATATCAGACAACAGAGGAGCAGGTTGCGGCGTGGGAATGGCAGGCAGGCAGGCAGCAGGAACAGACGGGATCTGGTCGAAGGAGCGACAGGTTACAAACGTGGCAGAAACAACGATAATACTGAGAGAGTACAACTAAACTGAGATTTGCTGTACAGGGCCAAGTTACCACAGGTGGTGTAGGAACGAACTGGCGCTGGAGAGGTGTCCAGCCCGGGTAGATAACTGCTGTTTGATTGATGACAATGAGCCGCAGCTGGAGGTAACGGAGCATGATAGAGAATGGCCACGCCCCCTGACCTAGATCCTCTGACTGGTCTGCACAGCAGGGGGAGACAGACACAGACAACACACACACACAGGGAAAAAAGGAAAAGGGAAACAAGCGGAAACAGGACCAACAGTGCCGGACCGTAACAATTAGATTTAAAAGGTGATCGAATAGCTCCTGATTTGTAATGTCATTAATGCATTTCTTTTGAAGCAATGTTTTAAAAAAATGTACAAGTGAATAGGTTGGTTTACTTTTAAGTTTAAATTTCCCACGTATCTCGTTAAAGTTTTGACCAATGAGCTAACTTGTTAAGTTGTGGCCAATGGAAGAGTGGACTGGTTGCCGGGAAAGAAAAGGGAGGGAAAAGTTGAAAGAAGGGAGAGGAGAGACGTTAGTGGGGTTGGTGAAGGAAAAACGACCAAAGGAAACGATAAAGAGAGAACAAAACCATACCTACAGAGTTTTTTTAAGGGAAATCCTGATTTTATTTCTATAAGAGAGTGTTTATTATTTAGTTAAGAAAGATCAAGTGGAGACTGAAGCTGCCGTCGCATTGTGTAGACATTCGACATCCTAGAGGTTAGCCTAGCATCGTGCAAGACTTGGAGAGAATTGCTTGTGACGATCAGTTCGGGTTTCCAACAGATGTCTGTTGCTGCTACCGAGTACTGGCTGCATTGATAGCTGTGTTCGCGGTGGATCTTGTGAGGACACCTGCACGGAACTACTATATTTTGCTGAGGCATTATCTACAAGTAGTGAGTAACTACAAATGTGGGGTGGACTTCGGGACTTTATGTATGTCGTCATTTTTTTTATGAGCTCCAACGCGCGTCCAGGGTTTAAGCAAGCTTGCAAATAATTTGGACATGGGGTTGTGGAAAAATCATTGGGGTTTATAATTTGTATTTCTTTTGATGTGATACATTGAACATTTGATTAATATAGATCTTGAACCTTATGTCTGTTGTATTGGTGGAGTCATTTACTGTTTCAGTTTCATTTAATGCATGGGAAAGCATATCCTTACAACAATAACCAAGTCTATAATCATTCTATCTGAAGTTAATACCCTATTTGTCATTCACCCTAGCAAGTTTACAATAGGGATTCTTATTGGAGATGTCCTTCTCACCTAATATCCCATGCTGTTCAGATATTCTAAATAAGGTAATATCGTGAGAGTCAAATTCGAGCCTGGTGAGAGGGTTACACTAATAATTGGTTTTATTTTATGTGTTTCCACAGTCATTCTTTTGCTATTTCTCTAAATGTTTTTATCTCAACTGTGGGGTCAACAGTTGATCACTTGAACCCTTTATTAATACTTTGTTAAATACAAAGAACAACAACAGAAATAGCAGATCTATAAGCACACAACTTTGATGCTTTGCTTGTTAATAACTAACTTGCTTATCTTTTAACATTTTCATTTTTACTATAATTAGTGTACAATGAATGTTTTTGATATGTGTGTAATTATTATTGTAATGGATATTTTTTGTCCATGTAGGAACAACGTGATGTAAATATGAGACGGCCCTCGTCCTTCGTGCACTTCCTGTGTACCTGCGTGAAGATGCCTCCCAAGTTTTTCAGGACCTGTAATGTAAGTGTACTGGCCTCACTATCAATCCCTTTGCTTAGCTATTCAGTCAGCTTAAACATGACATCACTCAAATAACTCTAGGAGAACCAGAGGGGCATTCCAGAAAGCAGGTTATGTGAAAACCATCAGTATAGCCAATTGTATTTTTTCCAACAACGTAATTTCAAAGTCCGTGTTTCTAGTTTGTCGCCGCATTGAGTATGAGATAAAATGTTTTTATATTTCATTTTCAGCCGATTTTAAATAAAACAAAATAGCCTAAAATAAAACATTGAACAACATTCAACCACTTCCTTAAAGGCTAATATAAAATAAAGTGATGTTAAATTCAAAATGAAAAGACGACTGCATCTGAAACTCTGTCAGTGATTTATATAACAGCCGCAGCCAGAAAATGTCTGCTTCCTGTTTTCTCCCGTTGCCATGGTGAATAACCGTATCGGAGCTCCATTGATGATGGCTTTTTACTAGTCGTCAGGCACAAGCTCAACTCCGAGTTAACGTACTCTGAGTCAACTTACCTAACTCAGATCAGCTGTTCTGTAACTGAAAACTCAGTTTCACTTCACGGGGTAAGTCAACTCTGAGTTCAGGGTTAGGCTCAGTTTGTTGAACCTCCTTTCTGGAATAGCCCCCAGAACCTGTTTATGAAGTTTCCTTGAGTTGTTATTCTGCAAACTGACATGTAGAAATTACATAAATGAAAAGGTAAGTATAAAGAATTCCACTAAACAAAAAGTATGCTTACAGGTAGGTGTGAAACTAACATAAAATAATAAGCATGTGTAAAGAAAATAGTTTTAAACATGTAGCTTAGTTGCAGTCTAAGTGCAAAGTGACCGTAATGTCTAGACATCATTAGCATGATTTGTATCCTTGAGGGGCTGAACTCATTTTTGTATTATTTGTGTTTTATAGTCAGCAGATGGTCCAGACCTCACTGACACTCCGGTGGCTCTCCTGACAGTTGTCACTGATGATACTACTGATGCGGCCCTCTTCAGCCCTGAGAGCATCTGTATTGTCGTGGAAGATGAAATACTTGTGAGTGGTCCCACAAACCTGGCTGACTCATTTCTCCTGCTCTTTGGGTATGTCTATGCACTAGACCTACAGTACCCAAAGAATCTTGAGCTTACATTCACATTTATCCAAAAAGTTGTGATGTGTCTTGAGGACAACAAACCACTGAAAGGCCGTCTACTGACACTGAAGAATGATTTGTTCAATGAGTGAATCACTCAGAATGGACTATTTGTTGAGCTGAGTATTGAGGATGTTTTTAGTTTTTTTCCCCTCTTTACAAATGTAATAATTTGCCTCTTCTACCTCATGTTTAATATGTTACACTGTTTGCCTCTTCTACCTCAGATTTAATACATTGATTGTTAATAGATAAATATCACAACATTGACGTATTGCCAAGCCCAAGTTTTTGTACTGTACTTGTGGGAAACGACTGTTGAATTCATGCACTATACATGTTTAATGTTGTGTGACCTAATGCTTACCTTGATGTTGCCAGTTGAAGTACGGCACAGTAGAAACCAGTACTTTTATTTGAATGTTTTATTTTAAAAAAGTGAGTTGCAGCCTTCAAGGTACAGTAAGTGCCAAAACGTTTTAAATGGCTCCACATTCTAATAGTTGTCATTGCTGTTGAGGATGGATTATAATTAGAATCTTATTGAATTTTATCATGAAGCCTTTGTGAGTTTTTATCATAATGTTTACTGAATAGTGTGATATGGAGACCCAAAATACTGAATCTACCCTCTGTAGCAATGACCACTATCAGAATATGGAACTATTAACACTTAATGTACTTTAAAACACATTTTGTTTTTATGGAGTCATTTCCTTTTCCTTTTTTGTTTTAATTTATGACAAGCACTTTGTTTTGACTGAGCTCCTTTTGATTCGTGCCTTTTTAAAAGCACATTGTGTTGAATAAAAAAAAAAGTTAAATTGTCACTGTGGTGTCACTTTCATGTTTTCTAACATTATTCGCTGATTATAATTGTGTAATGGACCGACATCAGTATTTCAGTTTAGAATTAATTTTGTTTGCATGTCCCACATTATGAGTTGAAGAATATTGAAAATTTTGAGTGTATTTCACACATTATATGAGTTGAAGAATATTTAATATTTTGAGTGTATTTCCCACATTTATGAGTTGAAGAATATTTAATATTTTGAGTGTATTTCCCACATTATATGAGTTGAAAAATATTGAAAATTTTGAGTGTATTTCCCACATTATATGAGTTGAAAAATATTGAAAATTTTGAGTGAATTACTCCCTAATTATAAGTTGAGGAATATCAATATTTATAAGATAACATTGAGATAATTTAAGGCAACTGTAAATATAATTTTTATTTTATGTAAACTTAAAACATTTAAAAACATCACTAAAATATTTTTGTGTAATCTGTTACAAAATAATTTTTGAGTTATGTGAACTTATTAGGGTTTAGTGTATGGAATCACTGGTCACTTTAACAATGTTTACATACTGTTTTACTAATTTCACATGTATATACTGTATTCTATCAATTCCACTCCAACATTGCTTGTCCTAATATTTATATATTTCTTAATTCCATTATTTTACTTTGAGATGTGTGTATTGTTGTGAATCGTTAGATACTACTGCATTGTTGGAGCTAGGAACACAAGCATTTCACTACACCCGCAATAACTGCTAAATGCTAAATATAAATTATTTGATTTTGACTTCTGTTGCACAGACAGTTTCTCCCTCTCTTGTTTGCAGCATAATTGAGTGGGAAACATCACTAAATGCTATCAAAACCATAGAAACCCTTGGTATCAAAATTCCCCTAATGTAGTCTGAAAAGTAGCTGAATTTCTTGCTAGAATCTTTCACCAATGAAAGTCCCTGGAGGGGTATGAAAACTCGCTAAAAATAACAACAAAGTCGCTAAATTGGCATCACTGGACAGAATAAACCAACAGACCACTTACATTTACATCATTTAGCAGACGCTCTTATCCAGAGCGACTTACAAATTGGTGCATTTAACTTATGATAGCAAGTGGGACAACCACTTTTTTTTCTTCTTTTTTTATGGGGGGTGTGGGGGGGTAGAAGGATTACTTTATACTATTCCAGGTATTCCTTAAAGAGGTAGGGTTTCAAGTGTCTCCGGAAGGTGGTCAGTGACTCCGCTGTCCTGGCGTCGTGGGGGAGCTTGTTCCACCATTGGGGTGCCAGAGCAGCAAATAGCTTTGACTGGGCTGAGCGGGAACTGTGCTCTCATTTAGGTGTAGGGTCTGATCAGAGCCTGAACGTAAGGAGGTGCCGTTCCCCTCACAGCTCCGTAGGCAAGCACCATGGTCACCATGGTCTTGTAGTAGATGCGAGCATCAACTGGAAGCCAGTGGAGTGTGCGGAGGAGCGGGGTGACATGAGAGAACTTGGGAAGGGTTCTGGATAAGTTGTAGGGGTTTAATGGCACAGGCAGGGAGCCCAGCCAACAGCGAGTTGCAGTAATCCAGACGGGAGATGACAAGTGCCTGGATTAGGACCTGTGCCGCTGCAGCGGAAGCCGCGGCATCTCCAGTCTCGCCTGAGACAACGCGGGAACCCCGCCTACCACCTCCGGAGCGGTACGATGGACGTCCAGAGGGTTGCAGGGAACTCCTCACCCAGTGTTCCCTGGTATTCAGCCTACAACCCTCCTCCTTCCCGACGGAGCAGGGCCGGGTGGCCTACATTATCACTCTGTTGACGGGTCGGGCCCTTTCCTGGGCTACCGCGGAGTGGGAGAGCCAAACTCCGGCATGCTCCGACTCCTACCAATTCACCCAGGAGCTACGCAAGGTGTTCGACACCTCTCGGGTGGTGTCGGGGCACGAGGCTGGGAAGCGGCTCACGGCCTGTCGGCAGGGTGATCGTTCGGTGGCTGGCTACTCCGTGGAGTTCCGGATCCGGGCTCGAGAGGCAGGATGGGAGGAGGCCGCCCTGGTCGTCCTTTACGCGCAGGGGCTATCGGAGGGGATGAAGGACAAACTCTCCTTCAGGGAGCAGCCTGAGTGACTGGACGGCCTCGTCGACCTCTCAGTGCGGGTAGACAATCGGCGTCGTGAGAGGGCGCACGAGAGAGGGATGACGCAAGGCGCACTTGTCCAGGATGGAGAAGCAGAGACGTCTGTGCCAGGGACGTTGCCTGTACTGCGGCCAGACAGGTTAACACTGCGACTCATGCCCGGAGAAGCCGGAAAACGGGAGGGCTCGCTAATAGCCGGAACCGAAACCCCAACCCCAGAGACTCCCGGACATTACTCCCCGTCAGGGTTCAGTGGGCCCGCACTGCGCGTCGGGCACATGCACTGGTGGATTCGGGGGCCGCGGGAAACCTGATGGACGTGGGTCTGGCCCAAGGGTGGAGCGTTCCGTTACTCTCCCTCTCTGAGCCGGTCCGGTCATGGGCCTGGATGGCCGGCCGTTGGGGTCGGGCTTCATCACCCGGTGCACTGTCGCCGTGCGTGTCTGGGTGGCAGGGGGGCTATGGGAGGATATCCAGTTTTTCATTGTGGATTCTCCGGAGTGTCCCCTCGTCCTCAGGCACCCCTGGCTGGTCGCCCACAAACCCCGGATACTCATCAGCCCAAACCACCGTCCCAGACCACCTACCAGTCCTCACCTCTTCCCAAGGTCCCCCACTCCGAACCGCCTACCGCCCCACCGGGAGGACGGCGGTTACAGACTCCGTCACCGGCCCAGACCTGGCAGGCGTTCCCCAGTAGTATTGGGATCTGGGGGAGATGTTTAGTAAGAGGCAGCCAAGGGTCTACCTCCTCACAGGCCATACGACTGCGCTATCGATCTCCTGCCGGGCGCCATGCCCACACGAGCGATTGTTTTCCTTGTCCCGGCCGGAGACGCTGGCCATGAGGGAGTATATCGACGAGACACTCGTCGAGGGTCACACCCGCCCATCTACCTCACCCGCGGGCACGGGCTTCTTCTTCGTGGGGAAAAAGGACGGTGGGCAGCGGCCGTGCATTGATTACCAGGCGCTCAACGACATCATGGTTAAGAACCGCTACCCACTCCCCCTGATGACGACGGCATTCGAGTCGCTGCAGGGAGCCCCGGTCTTCACCAAGCTGGACTTACGAAATGCCTACAACCTGGTGAGGATTCGGGAGTGGAAGACGGCTTTTAACACACCCAGTGGGCATTACGAGTACCAAGTCATGCCTTTCAGTCTAGCCAATGCGCCTGCGGTGTTCCAGGCGTTGGTCAATAACGTGCTCCGGGACCTCCTCGACTACAGCGTCTTCGTGTATTTGAATGACATACTAATATTTTCAAAGGACATTAGTGAACACCAGCAGCACGTTCGGCAGGTCCTCCAACGCCTTCTCCCTCACCAGCTCTACTTCAAGGTGGAGAAGTGCGTGTTCCACACAGAGACAGTCTCCTTCCTGGGGTTCATCGTCACCCAGGGGGACCTACGGATGCACCCAGCCAAGGTCAGCGCGGTACTGGATTGGCCCAAGCCCTCATCCCTCAAGCAACTACAACGGTTTTTATGTTTTGCTAATTTTTATAGGCTATTTATTCGCAATTTTAGCTCCCTAGCCGCTCCCCTGACAGCCCACACGAGCGTGCGCCCCTTCGCCTGGATCCTGGAAGCAGGGAACACATTTGATGTGCTTAAGCGCTGTTTTACATCGCCCCGGTCCTAGGGCATCCTGATCTGTCCCTGCCATTCATTGTGGAGGTGGATGCTTCAGACGTTGTGGTGGGAGCAACCCCTGCGCGTTTTTCTCCCGTCGGCTATCCCCGGCGGAGTGGAATTACGACGTGGGGAACCATGAGCTGCTAGCGGTCAAGCTCGCCATGGGGGAGTGGAGGCATTGGCTAGATGGGGCCACCCATCCATTCGTCGTATGGACTGACCATAAGAACTAAGCCTACATTCAGGGGGCCAAGAGGCTCAACTTGCGCCAGGCCAGGTGGGCGTTGTTCTTCACCAGGTTCCGGTTCACAATCTCATAGCGTCCGGGGTCAAAGAACACCAAGCCAGACGCGCTCTCCCGGCAGTTCGGCCCTGTGGACCTGGTGGAGAGGGACAACCCCATTGTCCCAAATGCCCTGATTGCTGCCCCAGTTTCGTGGGGAATCGATAGGCTGGTCAGAGCAGCGCTACGGCGGAGGTCCATCGGGGAGGATGTACGTACCCAAGGCTGCGCGCTCGCGACTGCTTCAGTGGACGCACACGTCCGACCTCACCAGCCATCCGGGGGGCGCCAGGACGTTGGAGTTCCTGCGTAGGAGGTTCTCGTGGCCATCAGCTGAGAGGGATATGCGCGCCTTCGTGGCGGCTTGCCCGGTGTGTGCGCGCACGAAGAGCTCACGTCAGCCCGCGGCAGGGCTGCTCCGACCCCTGCCTTTCCCCAAGCGCCCCTGGTCCCACATCTCGCTGGATTTCATTTCCGCCCTACCCCCCTCTGATGGATACACAGTCATCCTGGTCGTTGTGGATCGGTTTTCAAAGGCTGCCCACTTCATTTCCCTTCTCAAACTCCCGTCGGCTTGGGAGACAGCTAAGTTGGTGGTGCAGCACGTTTTCCGGGTCCACGGCCTTCCCCAAGATGTGGTGTCAGATCAGGGTCCTCAATTCGCCTCCAGGTTCTGGAAGGCGTTCGCCACCTGCCTCGGCGCCTCCATCAGCTTGTCTTCCGGCTTCCATCCCCAGTCGAATGGGCAGACGGAGCGCGTCAACCAGGATCTGGAGCGGGTGCTGAGGTGCAGGAGGGGGTTGCAGTTCCGGAGCGACCCACTAGGTGTCATCCTCCGATAACCTTAGGCACCTCCTCACTCACAGTCTGGACTAATCATTATCCTATTGGTGTCACCTGTGTCTACCTGTTCACCTGTGTATTTCACTTCCCTTTGTTCCCTTGCTCTGTTTTCTCTGCTAGTTTCTCGATGCCAAATTGTACTAATCAGTGTCTGATCGCGAGACGTATGTACAGGTACTTGAGAAGTGTTCTCCGTTTCATTGTTGTTTTCAGTCGTAGTTATTATTTCGTATGTTTCCTGTCAGCCTGTTTTTGGAGACCAATTTGCTCCTCCTTTATTTTATCTTGACAAGTCTGTTATTTTGTATCCTGGTTTTGGGACCACCAGTAAATATCCTTGTTTCACCATCTCTGCCTACTGTCTATCCTGCACCGCACCTGGGTCACACCTCACACCAACCCTTACAGTTAATGCCAGTTGGCTTTTCATAACCAGGCATTCTGAGAATCAAGGTCGAAACAGCAGGTCAGAGCGAGAGAGAGACATTTATGTTCAACATGGTCCTTACTGGAAACAGAGAGTACACAAGACATGCTCAGCCACATTTGGAGGAAAATGGAAGATGAATAATATGCGTCTCTTTGTTATCAAAAACCTTCAGCTGTGGAGGTAGATGTGCCAATACACAGCTAATATCCTCATTGGAGGAATACATGTTTACATTTGAGCTGGAGTCAAAGTCCATCCATTCATTCATTCATTCAATCAGTCAGGCTATTTCAAGGTGCCTATCTCACCTGTAAACCCTGGTTCCCTGAATGGTTTTGGGAGGCTGGACGAAGTGAGGGGGACGGGGACGGGGCACGGCTTCGTCTTGGGGAGGGTGAGAGGGCACGCTTTGGTCTCGGAGGGCCAGCAGAGCCACAGATCACATATGCCTTCAAAAGGTTTTGGTGTGGAAGCCCCCAGTGCACTAAACAAAGGGCTGCCCATCTCCCAGCCCCTTCACCTGTAGCTGGGCCATGACCCTGGAGGGAATGTCCTGGTATTTAGGGGAGCTCCACTGGACTTTGGCGGGGACGGGAGTGCTCGCTCTGTGCCTCCTGCTCTCTGCAGCGTTTCTGGATCTCCCTCAGCCGACGCACGTTCTCTTTTCCGTAGTCACGCACCAGCTGCTCTGTGGGACAAACAGAGAATACATGGAATGTGAGAGAGGGAACACAGTCTAATAGTGTCTGTTTAACCTTTTGAATGTATTTTCCTGTATAGTAAAAGACAACCACCACATTTGCATATAATGTACTACAATGAGATCAAGTCTAACTAGTCTCTACTCTCCCGAGTGGCGCAGTGCTAGCTGTGCCACTAGAGATCCTGGTTCGAATCCAGGCTCTGTCGTAGCCGGCCGCAACCGGGAGACCCATGGGGCGGCGCACAATTGGCCCAGCGTCGTCCAGTGTAGGGGAGGGAATGGCCGGCAGGGATGTAGCTCAGTTGGTAGAGCATGGCGTTTGCAACGCCAGGGTTATGGGTTTGATTCCCACGGGGGGCCAGTATGAAAAAATAAATAATGTACGCACTCACTAACTGTAAGTCTGCTAAATGACTAAAATGTAAATGTAGTCTAACCATGCACTCCAACCACATATGTGGCTTTGAATTTGACAAGGAAAGTGGCAGACAGAGTTGACCTGTGGTCACCATGAGACATTAGGCGTTGGACTTACAGTGCTTTGAGGAGTTGGGAAAGAGGGAGATCCCCTCCAGTTTGAGCAGGGCCCCCACCACCCCTCTCTTGCCCCTCTCCAGGATGTGTGTGGCGTTAGGGGTGCTGTAGCAGCCTGAGTACAACACAGGGTCCAAGGTAAGGGGACCAGAGAGAAAGGCTGGAGTCCCATCAGCGTTCCCCTCCAGACGACCCCTAGCTGGGATAAGATTCATCCATAGAAGGATGGGAGTGTAAGGAAGTAAGGAAGACAATGAACAGTAAGACACTGGGTGACATGTTGAACCAACAATTATTGGGATTTAAAAAAAAAAAGCTGTACATGTTAGCTATCTTACCAGAGACGGGACGTTTGTAGAATTCGGGGAAAAGGGTGTGATCTGGGGGTATGGGCCCAGATATCATGGAGGGACCCTCGCACATCACTGAACACCTGTTGCAAGACAGAGACCAACACAGAAATTCTAAATTGGGTTAGCTAGCTAGATAGATACTCTGAGAGGTTTTTCACTAACTTCACATTTCAGAAAGTGTTATCATGTCAGCAAAAAAGTAGCTAGCTAGCTAGCCAGTTAGAAAAAAAACACACTGACCATGTGTTCGAGAAAATGCGGTTGTTAGCTAGCTTCTTAAACGTTAAGTCTGCTATTTAGGAGACTTTGAGGGGTTTTTGTGTACTGAGCACTATGTGAACCGCGCAACATCAATTTATTTAACAGCTATAAGTTAAGAGAGGTGAAATATTATGTCATTTATAATTTGATTGTTACTATATTTAAAAATCATTTCAATCATTACAAGCCCTATTCCACCACTTTAGTTGAATAGGAAAAAAATAATATATGATTTTTCATATATTATCATATTTGTACCGTGTACTTGAGCTTGTCGTCAAACGTGACTACACCATCCTCAGCAATTTAGCTATTTTTTTGACTATTTTGTCCAGAAAGGTAAGAGATTTTAATATTTCTGGTAGTATAATCATTACTATGTATTGTTTATGGCCCTCTCATGATAATTAATTACTTTTGCGTATGTCTATTTAGGCAGAAATCTAAATTTTGACATAACATTTCATCTGTAGGCTAATAGCTTGGCTAGTAGCTAGCAAAATATATCGATGCATTAATTGACGACTGACTGATAACTAGGCTTACTGTTCCTAAAATACTAAATATAAATAAACACATATATTTATGCAAACACAATAGTTACTATCGGTTTTACAGTTTTGTGCCAAATATTACCTTTATAAAATACTCCAGACTTCAAACAAACTGTAGCTAGCCAGCTAGCACTTGCATTCCAGTCAACTACAAGCACGCAGCAGTCAGTGATGACGCAGACAGTGACAACAGTGCTCAAACCAAATCCCCCACCATGGCAACAGTGTAACCATTCCTACTGCAGATAACAAGTAGCTTTAAAGTTTGACAGACAGGGAAAGTGGGTAATCACTAGTGGCAGTGAACGTGGACCTGTCGTCAGTCATCTGTGGTCATCATGAGACGGTAGATGTTGAACAGTTATTTAATGCAGATATATAATTGTGGAAATTTAACAAACATAAAAACTACTAATATATGCTTACAACCAAATATATGCCTATAACAAACATTATAGCATCCACGACATGAGGACAAAAACTGCCAGACAGTGGCATTCTCAAACTCAAAACAAACATAGAGGTTACTTTCGTTTACTTAAAAGAGTAGGTATTTTCGCACAACTATGGAACGGTCATTATGACGTCACTAACGTTTGACGTAACAAGAACATTTATCCTTTAAATGTAATAGTAATATAACTGGTGATGGCAGATATTTGCACCCAAGTTTGATACAATGTAGAAAAGGGGGATTTTAATGTGCAAAGAATGGACCATTGTTTATTTTCTGGATTGGAATGGAAAGTAATAGTCTAGTGACCAGATGTAGACATTTTAGTCATGTAGCAGACGCTCTTATCCAGAGCGACTTACAGTTAGTGAGTGCATACATTTTATATTTATTTTCATACTGGCCCCCCGTGGGAACCGAACCCACAACCCTGGCGTTGCAAACACCATGCTCTACCAACTGAGCTACACGGGACCTAGGCCTAGGCTACATTTTTGATATTGGAAAATGTGTGATAGCACCTTATTTTAATATTGTAACGTTATAATGCTTATTATGATAAATAAAGCCAAGACATGAATGAGCAATTGAGGGCTAATATGAGTTTCATATATGTCATATATAATATGAGTGTCATGAGTCTCTGAGATGGAACTGCTGGGATGGATGGAGCAATCCTGGATGTTGGGCAATATAATAGCAATTCCTGTGCCATAAAGATCCAGACCTCTTGATAGAGTCTGTGCATTCAGGGAGGCTTCTACAGATAGCCTCTTCTGTAAGCCTAGGACTAGCCTAAGTGTGAATTTCACAATATGGGTATAGCCTAAGCAGGGTTGGGTAGGTTACTTTCTTAATGTAATCTGTTACAGTTAGTTACCAGCTACCTGTACAAAATTGTGATCATTAATATAACTTTTTGATTACCCAATCTCAGTAATGTAATCAGATTACTTTCAGTTACTTTTAGAATATTACCAATTGAACGACATCTATCGCAGGATAAATATGGACTATGCACTATGCAGCTGTTGCAAGAGCGCATTTTTCACTGGCTGTCCACTGGTCGCAAAAACAATGTTTGATAGGCAGTTTAAACTTCTTAAATTCAACCATTATTGGGTTAAAATACGCATATACCTCAATAAGCCCAACATGAACCCACATAAAGCCCAGCATGGCAACCACATGAGGGGCCAAGGTGGATCCTGAGGACAAAACTTTGTGGGTCCTAAGTGGTTATCCTATTTGGGGCCTACATGTTAAAACCATTCTTCAAACCATGTAGGCTTAAAACTTGTTGCCCCTGTAGGTAAGAGCACATTTTCCCACTGGGGTCCCTCAAGAAGCCCAAAATGAACCCATGCACATAAAGCCCAACATGGCAACCACATGTGGGGCCAACATGGATGCTGAGGACAAAACATTCTGTGTCCCTGTTGGGTTTCCCTCATGGGGCCCGTGGAACAGCCCTTCATTAACCCATGTGGGCCCCACATGGAAATGTTTGCTGGGTACATTTGTAAACAGCCATCCACAACAACCACAATCCGTAAGGCACAAATAGATTAATGAGAGCGCAGCAGTGTGATTCACACCAATGTGCTACAGTGAGGGAAAAAATTATTTGTTATAAATTGATTTGCATTTTAATGAGGGAAATAAGTATTTGACCCCTCTGCAAAACATGACTTGGTACTTGGTGGCAAAACCCTTGTTGGCAATCACAGAGGTCAGACGTTTCTTGTAGTTGGCCACCAGGTTTGCACACATCTCAGGAGGGATTTTGTCCCACTCCTCTTTGCGGATCTTCTCCAAGTCATTAAGGTTTCGAGGCTGACGTTTGGCAACTCGAACCTTCAGCTCCACCCACAGATTTTCTATGGGATTAAGGTCTGGAGACTGGCTAGGCCACTCCAGGACCTTAATGTGCTTCTTCTTGAGCCACCCCTTTGTTGCCTTGGCCATGTGTTTTGGGTCATTGTCATGCTGGAATACCCATCCACGACCCATTTTCAATGCCCTGTTTGAGGTTCTCACCCAAGATTTGATGGTACATGGCCCCGTCCATCGTCCCTTTGATGCGGTGAAGTTGTCCTGTCCCCTTAGCAGAAAAACACCCCCAAAGCATAATGTTTCCACCTCCATGTTTGACGGTGGGGATGGTGTTCTTGGGGTCATAGGCAGAATTCCTCTTCCTCCAAACACGGAAAGTTGAGTTGATGCCAAAGAGCTCCATTTTGGTCTCATCTGACCACAACACATTCACCCAGTTCTCCTCTGAATCATTCAGATGTTCATTGGCAAACTTCAGACGGGCCTGTATATGTGCTTTCTTGAGCAGGGGGACCTTGCGTGCGCTGCAGGATTTCAGTCCTTCATGGCGTAATGTGTTACCAATTGTTTTCTTGGTGACTATGGTCCCAGCTTCCTTGAGATCATTGACAAGATCCTCCCGTGTAGTTCTGGGCTGATTCCTCACCGTTCTCATGATCATTGCAACTCCACGAGGTGAGATCTTGCATGGAGCCCCAGGCCGAGGGAGATTGACAGTTCTTTTGTGTTTCTTCCATTTGCGAATAATCGCACCAACTGTTGTCACCTTCTCACCAAGCTGCTTGGCGATGGTCTTGTAACCCATTCCAGCCTTGTGTAGGTCTACAATCTTGTCCCTGACATCCTTGGAGAGCTCTTTGGTCTTGGCCATGGTGGAGAGTTTGGAATCTGATTGATTGATTGCTTCTGTGGACAGGTGTCTTTTATACAGGTAACAAACTGAGATTAGGAGCACTCCCTTTAAGAGTGTGCTCCTAATCTGAGCTCGTTACCTGTATAAAATACACCTGGGAGCCAGAAATCTTTCTGATTGAGAGGGGGTCAAATACTTATTTCCCTCATTAAAATGCAAATCAATTTATAACATTTCTTTGTCAGTGGGCAAATGTACAAAATCAGCAGGGGATCAAATACTTTTTTCCCTCACTGTATATAGATATCAATAAAAGTGATATCCGTATCGCCCATAGGCTACACCACTGTTGGCGTCCTTACCTCCGAGCGTTTATTCAAGTTGTATAATCTTTGGATGCCGACAACAGTTGCACCACTGGAAAACATAGCTTGGACTGTAGCCTACAAAAGCCTATCTCTGCTCTTTTCCCGCGATCCATCAAACGCATTTGGTGTGTCATCATAGTGGTGTCTGACTTGTGGTCAGACTCGCTCAGGGCTGTAGCTACATATGAGGACACCTTTGCAAAAGCTAATGGGATCCAAGTAAACAAATAAACAAATAAATAAAACACAGAGGTTTCGGGGGGGGGGGGACTCAGTCGTGGTCTCAATTTACTGTTGAGAGTTAGAATAATAAAATACACAAAGTGCAATTTCGAAACTTGGTTGTCCATCAGCAGTTTTCCTCTTGTTATATGTCACTCACCGACAGTCACTCAATTAGCCCATTTCAGTAAATTAGTCTAGTTAGTCTAATCATGGCCGAAATACCAACCAGGCACGCAGGGCACATGCCCTGGGGCCCTGACCTCCAGGGGGCCCCCATTGATTTTGTTAGTCACTCTCACTCAGATATCATATTAACATGGCAATCATGACAAATTGTGTAGAATTGCAGGAAATTAGCTGTAAAACTGCAACAACAACAAATAGTTATGTCAAGCAAACGTATTTGTTTACCTTTTGTTAATAAAAACTTTTTCTGCTAACAGATCCCTCTGTTTTTAATCCCGGTGCTGAGTTAATATGCAGCGGCTAATTGTATAGCTAATAGGCTATGTGTTTGTA